TGTGCCTGCTCCCCATTGCATTCCATGCGCGCCCCCCACCCCCTCCCTCCCGCCCTCTCCACGCTCCACACACACACCATCACACACACACATCCTCACGCAAACAAGGACATGCAGACACACAGCATACACATGCACAAGAAACACAGACGCATGGATGCAGATGGGTTGCACCAGCACAGTATAGCAGTCAGTGTCCGCGCACTGCCCCACCCCACGTGCTGCCCCACCCCACCCCAACCACCCAACTGCCACAACCCTTCGGAACCCACAGCACTCATCCATCCCAGATGTGCTTGCCCGCCCCCCTCACCCCACCCTTCGCCTCTCCCCTCCCCCCACCCCTCCCCTCACCCCTCCCCTCACCCCTCCCCTCACCCCTCCCCTCACCCCTCCCCTCACCCCTCCCCTCACCCCTCCCCTCACCCCTCCCCTCACCCCTCCCCTCACCCCTCCCCTCACCCCTCCCCTCACCCCTCCCCTCACCCCTCCCCTCACCCCTTCCCCCACCCCATGTCCCCCCAGCGCTGACCGCGGCCGGCGAAGATGAGGAGGCGGTTGTTGAAGACGGAGGCTGTGTGGCCACAGCGCGGGGGGGGCACGCTGGCCGGCAGCGCCACCAGCACCTGCTGCCACTCCAACGACACTGCATGCCGTGGGGGGGGATGCGGGTGGGGAGGGCGTGGGGGAAGGGAGAAGGGAGGGGCGGCCAAAGGGACAGTGTGGGGGGGGGCAACGGGAGAGGGGGGGTGGGGGGAAAGGGAGAGGGGAGGGGGGGGCAAAGGGAGGCAGAAAGGGGGGTCAAAAGGAGAGGGGAGGGGGAGGCAAAGGGAGAGGGGAGGGGGGGGCAAAGGGAGAGGGTATGGGGAGGGGGAGGAGGGACAGGGAGAGGGGAGGGGGGCGGAAGGGGGAGGGGGAGGGGGAAGGGGAGAGCATGTGATGGGGAATGGAGAAGTAAGCGAGGGCAGCGGAGCTTTAAAGAAACAGCAACAGATGGGTGAGCAGAAGGTTCATGGCATGGGCATCACTGCACACGATTGATGGCATGGGGGAGAGGTTGACAAGACACGTAAGGAGCGAGAGAATGAGAGAGCAGGGTGAGAAGGCGAGCAGGTGGGAGAAAGAGGTGCGAAGGTGGCGCTGCATGGGGCGCATGGGCGCTGGGTGGGTGGGTGGGTGGGTGTGCGCACTGGTGTCGAGGATGTAGGTGTCGTTGAGGAAGCGCGTGCCATCCCACCCCCCATGGCTGCACGCAGCACAGGACAGCGGGCGGGCACGGGCAAGGTGCAAAAAAACGACGTTTTTTTCATTTTTTTGTCGTTATTTTCAATATCGTACCGTACTATCGTTTAAAACGGATAAAAACGATAAAACTATTTAAATAAGTTTGGGTGCAAAAAAACAATAGTTTTTTTGGGTTATGGCAACGTAGCACACAGGATTGGTGGAAGTCGTGGCTTGAACCAATCACCCACACATATTCAGCCTTCCCGCACGTGCAGAGTGTGCCAGATTCCGACCTGTTGTGATCAGATTGGTGGCAGGGGATTTGTTTTGAGTTTTTTTTTTGTGTGTTTTTTTTTGGGCCTAACAAAAAAAAAGACGTTTTTTCCCCAAACAGGACCGAAAGAATCAATCGTTCTTTTCAATCGTTTTTTTTCGCAACCGTTTTTTTCCACCTTGGGCACGGGGGACGGCATTGAGGGGCAGGCAGAGCAAGGATGAGGGGAGCATATGATAGTGGGAATGAGAGGGAGACGAGTGCAACGAGATAAGAGGACGATATTCATCTCAATGTTGTGGGTAGTTGGTAATGGTGAGGGTGAGAGGGGAGGTGCAGGCACAGAAGAGGGAGAGAGCGATGGAAATGGGAAGTAAGAGATACGGGATGGGAGGGGTATGGAGAGAGAGGGAGGGATGCAAGGAGGAGGGGAAAAATGAGTGGAGCGTACAGTATGAGGCGCGAGGAGCCAAAGGCAACGAGCGATGCAAAGTCACGCGCGCAGGGAGGGGTGCCGCCACACGGCAGCTGCGCCCACTGCCATGTGTCTGATGGGCAGGGGTGAGCACAGGTGGGTGCGGGGACGAGTGCAGCACAGGTGGTGTGAGAGGAGTGGCGTGAATGTGGGCGCGCATGGGAAGGAAGGAGGGGGGGTTGCAGTTGCATGCATGATGAGGAGCAGATGCAGGCACCGGGAGAAGCAGGGAGGGCAATGACGGCAGTGGAGGGCGTGACATGGGGGCGCGTGTGGGCGGAGAGCACGCACCTGTGTCTAGCATCCAAAAATCACTGAGCCTGCACAGGGGCAGAGGGCGTGAGACAGTGGGCACGTAAGACAGTGGGCACAATGGGTGCAGCACAGTATTGCAGGTTTGCTTGCAGCATGAAACTCTGTTGGCCGTCTGTCATCATGCTCTCACCACGACCGCCCTGTGCGCTGTGCAAACGCAACCACCTCCCCCTGCCATTGCTCACTCTTCCCCCCTATCCTCACCGCACCACACCACCACCTGTGAATCACAAACAGTCGCCACTCTGCAAAGCGCGGAGGTGAGAGCGCACCTCTTCTTGCCTGAGCGACCACCGAACACAAACATGTTGCCGCCCTCGATGGCAGCAGCTGCATGGAACGCCCGTGCACACGGCCGCACCCCGCCCTCCCACTCTTCCTCACCTCCCCTCAGCTCCTCCCCTTCCCCCCCCTCTCCTACCCCCCCACCGGCACCATCTCCCTGCCCAGCTGCCTCCTCCGCTGTGCCGCCCTTGCCTGCTTGGTCGCCGTGCCCCGCCTGCACGGGGCGAGTCCACTCGTTCGTCACTGCACCGGGGGTGGGTGACGGCGCGGGCAGAAATGACCATCACAAAACTATCAAGGTGGATCGTTTTTTAAGTGCAACGGAGAGTAACAACAGCGGTACATGGGGTAGGGAGTGATTGAAGCATTGCGATGCTGGGGTTTGTGCGGGACGGAGGTTGCGGAGAGGAAGGTTGGAGGGAAGGAGCGGGCAGGCAAGCGACGGGTAGGGCGCAGAGAAAAAGCTCGTGCCCCCCACAACAACATCTCCTTACCTTGAGATCCCTCCACACCCACCCTGCCTCACCCCTCCCCGCCTCTCTCTTTCCCTCAGCTCCCCTACCTGCCGTCATGCAGAGTGCATGTATATGTGCATGAAGCGCAGAGGGCAGGGCGCACCTGTGTCGAGCACGATGACATCGTCCAGGAAGTCCTTGTCCCGCAGCCCACCGAACAGCACCAGCTTGCACCGCTTCACCAGCACCGCCACGTGCCCGCTGCACACAGCAGCAGCGGCAGCAGCAGCACGGCGGTGGTGGTGGAGCGGCAATGCGCACAGGGGCGCACAGAGAAGGAAGGCGCACGGGGAAGGGGGCGAGGGGACCGGCGGTTGTTAAGTGGTTGTGGAAGCGCGGGAAGGGCAGTATACGCATGGCGAGTCAGCGAGGTGAGAGCGAGGGGAAGGGCGAGGGGAAGGGCGAGGGGAAGGGTTAGGGGAAACGTGACGGAACAAGGGGGCGCAGAAGACATGCACGCAAGCGAGGAGGCGCGCGCAGGGCGGGACAACGAGCGCGCGCCATGCGAATGGCTGCACGCCTCCCCGCCGCCGCGCTTGCGTGCAGGCCACTCGCAGGGGACAGTCGGGGGGCGGTAGAGGCGATAGGGGCGGTAGAGGCGATAGGGACGAGGCCGAAGGGGTAGGGCTGCGGGGCGAGAACGGCTTTGCGAGAGCGGCGGGGCGAGAGCGGCTTTGTGAGAGCGGCGGGGCGAGAGCGGCGGGGCGAGAGCGGCAGCACCTTCTAGCGGAAGGCGGGTCGCCCGAGGCCATGGTGGAGGCGTGCTCCACCCATCGCATCATCGCCGCGCCCGCCTCCTCCTCGCTACTGCTCGCACGGCCTCGTCGCCCCTCGCGCAGTACGGCGTGTGTAGGGGAGGCGTGCAGTGCGGGAGGCGAGTGAAGTCGTGAACAGAGCACAGCGAGGCGTCTATTTGGAGTGGCGGCGCACGCGGTAGGCGTGTTGACCTTCTTCAACCCGTCCCCGTGCTAGACAATCTATCCAGCACAAAAGTGGGCAAAGTTTACGGGTGATTATAAAAAGAGTCACAAACGTCAATTTGTTGTTATCAAATTAGGGGGTGTCTCAATGTAGGAGAATTCTGACGGTCGGAATTTTCGATCCGAGGGCTGACATGCACCAACATCCACCGACATCCAGCGACATATGTCACTTCAGACACGCCCTTGGATGTTATCTCAATGGACAAGCGACTCCGCCCAGCGAAGCTAACCCCATACGGACTCGCATCCGATGAGGGAGACATCTACCCTAAACACCTTGTGGCATGGTGTTTAGGGCGGGTCCGAAGTGAACGTGACATCCGTTGACATCCGATGTCGGTAAATTCTAACGGTTGGAACTCAGATCCGAGGGTTGACATTTACCGACATCCAGCGACATCCATCGACATCCATCGACGCTTCACTTCAAACACGCTCTTAGTATTGATGACTCCCTCGGATGTATGCCATCCGATGGGGTTTTAGTTATTTTCTGCCCGCATCCGATGGGGTTTTAGTTTTTTTCTGCCTGGGGTCAGCAAGGCGATGTAGGTCGATGGGTCGACGGAGGGTTGACGGAGCCGTCGACCCAATTCTATTAAGATATTCCATCACGGACGGTCACTCATGTATCATGAATCCTCACTAGATAATATGAAAATTGTTATAAATTGTAAAACAGAGTTGTGCATGTTAGAATGTTATTATCTAGCCTGTAGTGGGGTGCTCTATAGCGAGTACAACCCTGTTAGGGTTTGCTATATGTATCCCAACTACTGCTAGTGAAACCCCTTCCTTTCTTCACATTCCTCATTCTTTCACATGCTATCAGAGCAGGTCGACCCTCCTGGGTCGTTCCTGTGTATGGGCCCACCACCTCACTGCTTCCGCTGCCACTGCTACTCTGTGTGTCGCACGCCCCGTGGCGTGCGACGGATTTTTCTTCCCGCCGCGCGCTCGGAGCGTGCGGCGGTTTTCTGCCCGCCGTGCGCCCCGAGGTGCGCGGCGGTTTTCTGCCCGCCGTGCGCCCCGGGGCGTGCGGCGGTTCTCTGCCCGCCGTGCGCCCCGAGGCGCGCGGCGGCTTTCTGCCCCATCGATCCGCGCGTCGCCCCCGGGGGGCGCTTCGACGGGCGACGGGGACCAGCCCGTCGTCCCCGGTTGCCCGTCCCGGCCAGCGCGGGCTGCGCTAGCCCCGAGCGCGGCCCGTACGGGCTGCGCCCGGCCCGCGCGCGGCCCGTACGGGCTGCGCCAGGCCCGCGCGCGGCCCGTACGGGCTGCGCCAGGCCCGCGCGCGGCTCGGGCCGCCTGCGCGCGGTTCGTCTGGCTGTCCCAGGCCCGTGGGCGGCCCGTTCTTCTCTGCCCCTGAGCTGCCCGCTGTCCCCCATGCTTCTGACGGCGCCCCACCCCTGCTGCTGCCCGTTCTCCTGAATTAGGGTTTGGGGGTGGGGGGTATGGGGGTGCAGTTTCTGTGCGCCGTCCCCTGCTCCTCCTCCTCCTCCGTCTCCCAGTGCTGCAGCTGCCGCTGAGGGGGGTGGATGTGTTGTGTTGGAGCCGTCGGAGTGGTACGAGGGGGTGACATGGGAGTGGAGTTAGGGGTGAAGCAGTTAGGGTGTGTGTCAAGGGTGTGGGTCAGTTGGAGGAGGTTGTGTGGAGGTAGCTGTCGTGTCGCCTGCAGCGCCTGTAGTCCGTCGCCCTTGCTTCGGTAGCCAGTGAGCCTGTTGCACCAGTCGCCAGTGGGTCCGTTGCTCCTGCCGCTCGTCTTAGCCGCGGAGCTAGTCACTCCAGTAGTCCGTTGCCCTTGCTTCGGTAGCCACTGAGTCAGCCGCTCCTGTGCCCGTGCCTCTGCAGCTTCAGTCGTTGCCTCCCATCTTCTCTCCTTCCACAGTTCCTCCTCCTCCTCACTTGCCCGCTGTGATTACCTCTAGATTTGCTTATTATTGTGAACTCCTGCTCATTGTGCTGATTACACCCCACTTTGGCTATGGGGGTGTGTCAGAATGTTATTATCTAGCCTGTAGTGGGGTGCTCTATAGCGAGTACAATCCTGTTAGGGTTTGCTATATGTATCCCAACTACTGCTAGTGAAACCCCTTCCTTTCTTCACATTCCTCATTCTTTCACAGTGCATGTCAAATGTTATATCTACTACAGTTTGTTTAGGCTGTAGTGGGGTAGTTACTATGGGGTACAATACGTTTAGGGTTTCCTACTTGTACCCAACCATTTTCCTAGTGCAAACACTTCTCTCATTCTGACATGGTATTACGAGCCTAGGTTAGGAACCTAGGACCACTTACCTAAGGGCCCACCGTTCTGCTAGAGGCGCCCTCGTGCGCCCCCAACGTCGTAGCGCCCTCGTGCGCCTCTCTTCTAGTGCGCCCTCGAGCGCCCTCTCTCTCACGCTGCCCGTTTGCAGCCCGCTAGCAGCCCGAGCGCAGCCCCACGTTCTTAGCGCGAGCAGCCCGCTTGCCACCAAGGGCGGCCCGATTTTTCTCGCGCGCGCCAGTAGGCCGTCGCCTGTAGGCCCCGCTCGCCCCTAGGCCGACGCTCGACCCACCGCCGCCCGCCCGCAGGTCGCAGCCCGTGCGCAGAGGCGATCGCGCGTCGGCTGCTGCAGCTCGCGCTTAGCCGCCGCACGAACGCAGCCACGGCCCGCACGCAGCCGCACCCTAGGCGCCGCCGCGCACCGTGCATAGGCCCGCCGTCGCGCCGCCCTACCTGCCCGAGTCACGCCGCGCCGTCCTGCCCGAGTCGCGCCGCCCTTACCGAGCCACGCCGCCCCACCTGCAGCAACTGCTGCTCCTGTTCCTGCTGTTAGAGCTGTTCTTACTGCTACAGCTGCTACTGCTACTGCTGTTACTGCTACTGCTGCTACTGCTACTGCTGCTACTGCTACTGCTGCCACCATGGCCAGTCCTACCGTTCTCACTTTTGACGCTGAGGTCCGTCCGATTAAGTTTGACGTTTGGCTCGATGACCTGCACCTGTTCCTCCAGATCACTGCCAAGGATGATGTTTCCCTGTTTGACCACACGTCCGGCGCCGCTCCCGCACCTGCTGCTACTGCTGACAGCACTGCTCGCTCACAGTGGCAGACCCGTGACGCTCATGCTCGCCTAGCAGTTCGCAGCCACCTGCCGTTAGATGAGCGCGAGCACTTTGGCCAGCATAAGACCGCTAAGGAGCTGTACGATGCTGTAGTTGCACGCTACTCCTCCCCTGCTACTGCTGCAATAGGCCGTCTCTCACTGCCCTATCTCTTCCCCGATCTGTCTGCCTTTGCCACTGTAGCTGACCTCATCACGCACCTCCGTACTAGTGATCTTCGCTACCGTGCCGCGCTTCCCCCAGATTTCCTAGCCAAGAACCCTCCCCCGATGTACCTCACACTCTACCACCTAGTCACCCGCCTCCCTGATTCTCTTCGCACTGTCAGGGACCACTCTCTCGCCCTCTCCCCCACCGACCTCACTGTCGACCTGCTCGAGAAGGAACTCCTAGCAGCTGAGAAGAGCATTGTAGCTGTAGGTGCCTCTCGTGGCGACCCTCGCACTCCCTTCTTTGAGGGGTGCTCCCCCGTCCCCCTCCTCCCCTCCATTGCATCTGCTGCTGCTGTCGACTACCTCGGTGCTGAGGGGGTCGGGGCTGCGTCTGCTCCTAGTGGGAGGCGCAAGGGCGGCAGGGGCAAGGGGGGCAGGGGTGGCGGAGGTGGCGGCGGGGGCGGCGGTGGTGGAGAGGGTGGAGGCGGCGGGGGTGGTGGCGGTGGTGGGAGTGGTGCTGGTGGTGGGGGGGTCAGTGGCGGAGCCGGGGGTGGTGGCGGCGGCGGTGGTGGGGGTGGCGGGGGTGGTGGTGGCAGTGGTGGCTGTCAGAATCCCAACCACTAGACCATTGGGATAAAAGGGCTTGTTAAGTAGCGGGTCAGTGCGCCCATAACCCCCCAGGCCAACGTGCCTGTAACCCTTCCCTAGGATCAATCGGGGATCACCAGTGGACCTCTGACACCCCCCCGCACTGGGATGCCCGAAGTGCATACACCGGGATTCGAACCCGAGACCTTCGCTCTGATACCATGTCAGAAGAGTAGATTAATCTTAGGCGTCATGGCTAGGTTTTTAGGAAGACGAAAGTAGCGAGGGAGAAGTTTCACCAACAAAAGAGGTTGTTCACTATAGAGCGAGCAGTACAAATAAGCAAGAATGAAGAAAGGTGCACCACGAAACAGAAATTTATATGACTAAAGTATTCTACACTACAGGCAGTTATAGAACAATATATAGAATTATATATTATTCTGACACGCCCCCATAAGTGCCTGTAGGGAAGAATGTGCAGTCAAAGCCCCCATAATGGGGTACACAAGACAGGCCGCAGCGGAAATCACAGCAACAGGCAAGTGCAGTGGCAACCGGTGCAGTGATGGCAGATCCAGCTGTACCAACCCCTCGGCCAAGGCAGAAACAATAGCAGGTGTAGGGGCGGCAGGTCGCCTGAGGAGCAGGCTCTGTGGCTGCAACGTGCAGCAGGACAGCAGCGGCTCGACGGCAGCACCTGCAGGCCCCTAGCAGCAGGCAGCAGAAGCAAAGGCAGTAAAGGCAGGTGGCAGCAGGGGCGGCAGCTGGAGGTGCCACGGTAGCAGCGGGCGTCAGCAGCAGATGCCCGGCTGACTTCCGCCACCCCCTCTCACCCTCCCCCCCACATCTGCAAGCGCGGCAGTGAGAGAGAGAGGAGGGGGGACGGCTGTTGGTGCTGCAAAATCTCTCTCGCCACCCCCTCACACTCCCCCCCATCCCCCACAGCGA